GTGTGTTTTAAGGAAAGTTTTAATTTTGACGGCCAAGTAGCCTACAGAGAAAAGTCGACCGTCAAACGTTTGTATTCTGGAACATTAAAAGTGAACAAATAGTGGTTGTTTTTTAAACAAACTTTGTCTTCAAGTTTATTTTTAAACATAATTGCCATCCGATGGAATTCTACAATTAAAAATTGAGTTTTATCTTGCGATAAATCCAATAACAATTAAGAAAATTACACCAGTAATTCCGTTAAGATTTTTTTTAAATCCAGATAAATGAATATCGTCTTTTGGATTACACTGATTATTTACTTATCTAAAGATTCATTCTACGAAAACTTCTTTGTTCTCTAGTGTCCTTTTAATAACAAAAAATATATTTATCCTTTAACTTCACTTATTAAAACAGATATAAGTAGTTATATTCAGAGTTTCTTTTAACATCTCTAAATTGTGATATTTATTCTCGTCGTTTTAACGCAACGTATTAATAAAGACGTTTAAGCTACCATAAAATACATTTGTCAACCGGATTCATAGGTTTATCGTTACCACATTGAAATGCCTCTGAAAACTCTTTCATGTTAGAAACTGTTCCAATGATCCTAAAATTGAGAGGAAAAAAATTCAAATAAATGTTGATATTCTCTATTGAATTTGATTTGTTTTGTAATATACCTGAATATCTGTGGACTGTGTTCACTACGATTCATATCAGATTTTAATTCGCCTCCCGTTTCTGAATCACACCACATCTGTAAAAAATTTCATATAATTTGATACAATTATACATTATTGCAATACATAAATTATATATTATTTGTATAAAAATATTATATATATAATTCTTACAGTTGCGTATGATATGAAGAACATTTGATCCGGAGTATAGATTTCGAAGTCTTCAAGAATATCTTTATGTTCATTGTCATATTTCTTTAAATACGCTTTATATGCCTATAATTAAAATCTTGGCTTAATGATTACTTCAGAAAAGTTTTAAAATTATCGAAATTACTTACAAAATATGCATGTCTTAAGCCGCTATTGTCTGCTATGTTTTCATTTATTGTTTTCATACCGTTCACCTGCAATGAAATTATATAACTCAGTAAATATTAATTTTTGTTAAATGACGAATAAATACGAGTATTAAAGAATTAATATAAAATATTCTTTCTCTTAAAGTCATGCAAAATAAACAACTCGCCCTTTCTCCTCCAATTTCATAGGATCCATACTGATCAATCAAGCATTGCATTCTTTTACTGTGTTCTATTACTGATTTCAATGACCATGTCATATTTAAATTACCATTTTCGCCTATACGAAAACCTAATTTATTACAATAAAATAATCGGCTTTATTAGAATATTTATTGAAAATTTCACAATAATTTCATCAACTAACAAATTTACTATTTCAGATTACAGGTATTAAAAGATTAAAAACGTATTAAATGTCGTCAAATTTAAGCTTACCGGCTGTTAGTAAAGAATGAGTAATTTCATGTGCCAAAACCGTACCATACCGAGCAAAATTCGTGTAACTAATAATAAATAAGATGAAAATTAGTCATCGTCCGGTACAGATCGTTATGATTCTGTAAATGGAACTATGCAGCATTGCAAGTTATAGAAAAACTTTAAAATTATTCCAGAAACATTATAATATAGAAAATATTTGACTATGAAATTTGTATAAAATAATATACAGTATTGTGTCTGCAAATATACATTAAAGAGTACAATTATTTATTATGACATCGTCACAAGGCCGGGCTGCAATTTTTAATCATATTTTAAATTAATTTCATTTAAAATATATGCTCTCCACCTGAAATTAGTACTATAGTGTCTTGCTCCTGTTCATTATAATTTACCGTTAGCAATGGAGTCTTGTTAGTCATCTATCTAACTACTTTCGGGGAAAAGTTTTGAATTGAAATAACGGTATGCATCAGAAGTTCGTGTGTAGTTAATTAACCTTTAATACTGAGAGAATTATTCAGACAAAACTTAGTTGTGTAGACGTATAAATTCTCAAATGATCGTTGTGACTGAACAAGCAATGTTTTCAGATAAATATAGATAAAGATAATATATAAAAAGTTTATTTAAGCTACTTACATAGGGAAATTAATATTAAACATGGCTTTACTTTGAAAAAATTGAGTCATAACTGAAATATAAATAAAATCTTGCATGTATATAAGCTACGAAAATTACAAGGTTTTAATCCATTTAAAAAGCAGTTTGAAATCTTACCAACTTTATTAAATACTGCATCATAGTATGAAGATAAAGTCATTACTGGATTATTTTTTTCTATATGCCATCTGCGAATATAATTAAAAAATAAATTTAAAAAAATTTTTAAACAACAGTTTAAAATATTATTCAATCAATCAACATGTATAATACTTCTTACTGTTTCCTATCATTCTTTTTGTATAGAGTTTCAAGCCATTTTTTATACACAAAGTTTTTCAAATTTACAAAATTCTCATCAAAATTTGAAGTCATATTTGGAAACTAATAAATAACAAAATTTTAAAGTTAATCTCATACGTCTTATCAATTTGACATAAGGAATAAATATATATATCNCCAGATAAATGAATATCGTCTTTTGGATTACACTGATTATTTACTTATCTAAAGATTCATTCTACGAAAACTTCTTTGTTCTCTAGTGTCCTTTTAATAACAAAAAATATATTTATCCTTTAACTTCACTTATTAAAACAGATATAAGTAGTTATATTCAGAGTTTCTTTTAACATCTCTAAATTGTGATATTTATTCTCGTCGTTTTAACGCAACGTATTAATAAAGACGTTTAAGCTACCATAAAATACATTTGTCAACCGGATTCATAGGTTTATCGTTACCACATTGAAATGCCTCTGAAAACTCTTTCATGTTAGAAACTGTTCCAATGATCCTAAAATTGAAAGAGAAAAAATTCAAATAAATGTTGATATTCTCTATTGATTTTGATTTGTTTTGTAATATACCTGAATTTTTCTGGACTGTGTTCATCAAATTTCATATCAGATTTTAATTCGTCGTCCGTTTCTGAATCACACCACATCTGTAAAAAAATTCCATATAATTTAAGTACAATTATGTATTATTTGTATAAAAATATTATATATAATTCTTACAGTTGCGTATGATATGAAGAACATTTGATCCGGAGTATACATTTCGAAGTCTTCAATAATATCTTTATGTTCATTGTCATATTTCTTTAAATACGCTTTATATGCCTATAATTAAAATCTTGGCTTAATGATTACTTCAGAAAAGTTTTAAAATTATCGAAATTACTTACAAAATATGCATGTCTTAAGCCGCTATTGTCTGCTATGTTTTCATTTATTGTTTTCATACCGTTCACCTGCAATGAAATTATATAACTCAGTAAATATTAATTTTTGTTAAATGACGAATAAATACGAGTATTAAAGAATTAATATAAAATATTCTTTCTCTTAAAGTCATGCAAAATAAACAACTCGCCCTTTCTCCTCCAATTTCATAGGATCCATACTGATCAATCAAGCATTGCATTCTTTTACTGTGTTCTATTACTGATTTCAATGACCATGTCATATTTAAATTACCATTTTCGCCTATACGAAAACCTAATTTATTACAATAAAATAATCGGCTTTATTAGAATATTTATTGAAAATTTCACAATAATTTCATCAACTAACAAATTTACTATTTCAGATTACAGGTATTAAAAGATTAAAAACGTATTAAATGTCGTCAAATTTAAGCTTACCGGCTGTTAGTAAAGAATGAGTAATTTCATGTGCCAAAACCGTACCATACCGAGCAAAATTCGTGTAACTAATAATAAATAAGATGAAAATTAGTCATCGTCCGGTACAGATCGTTATGATTCTGTAAATGGAACTATGCAGCATTGCAAGTTATAGAAAAACTTTAAAATTATTCCAGAAACATTATAATATAGAAAATATTTGACTATGAAATTTGTATAAAATAATATACAGTATTGTGTCTGCAAATATACATTAAAGAGTACAATTATTTATTATGACATCGTCACAAGGCCGGGCTGCAATTTTTAATCATATTTTAAATTAATTTCATTTAAAATATATGCTCTCCACCTGAAATTAGTACTATAGTGTCTTGCTCCTGTTCATTATAATTTACCGTTAGCAATGGAGTCTTGTTAGTCATCTATCTAACTACTTTCGGGGAAAAGTTTTGAATTGAAATAACGGTATGCATCAGAAGTTCGTGTGTAGTTAATTAACCTTTAATACTGAGAGAATTATTCAGACAAAACTTAGTTGTGTAGACGTATAAATTCTCAAATGATCGTTGTGACTGAACAAGCAATGTTTTCAGATAAATATAGATAAAGATAATATATAAAAAGTTTATTTAAGCTACTTACATAGGGAAATTAATATTAAACATGGCTTTACTTTGAAAAAATTGAGTCATAACTGAAATATAAATAAAATCTTGCATGTATATAAGCTACGAAAATTACAAGGTTTTAATCCATTTAAAAAGCAGTTTGAAATCTTACCAACTTTATTAAATACTGCATCATAGTATGAAGATAAAGTCATTACTGGATTATTTTTTTCTATATGCCATCTGCGAATATAATTAAAAAATAAATTTAAAAAAATTTTTAAACAACAGTTTAAAATATTATTCAATCAATCAACATGTATAATACTTCTTACTGTTTCCTATCATTCTTTTTGTATAGAGTTTCAAGCCATTTTTTATACACAAAGTTTTTCAAATTTACAAAATTCTCATCAAAATTTGAAGTCATATTTGGAAACTAATAAATAACAAAATTTTAAAGTTAATCTCATACGTCTTATCAATTTGACATAAGGAATAAATATATATATCATTAAAATTAATTGCAATACTTACATCCTTGTAATATCCCATAAATAAGTCTTCGTTTTTAACAAATTCGGGAAAGTCTGTTATTATTATGATTTCTTTAATCTAAAAAAATGAAGAAATTATTATATAATATTTTTCATAAAAAAGCTGTAGTCGTAATACTTTCTTTTCAAAATGATAATGTTTCATTTGAATATTACAGATTAGTGAATAGATTAAAACTAATTCTTCTAGTTACTTTGGAATGTGGTAACTCTACTCCCGAGAGATGTAATAGTGGCTAACAATGGTCGCACTTCCTTATCAATCACTGCTTTCAACGTAGTAACTCACACGTAAAAATACACTTTCTTTTGGCGTAACAGCATATACAGCTCTCCCTTGGTAGTCCGACAGGTATGGGACCAAAAGGGTGTTGAATTACCAAAAGTGTCCGGATTACCGAAAATAATTACATATTTTGCATTGTTTCGCTAGCAATAGCTTACAATATTCCCTACTCCAACTGTTCGAACAGAACTGCTCACGGAAAACACACGAAATGTGTGTCATCGTGTAAGAATTGGATGGGAAGATTCACGTCGCGACATGCTTCTGTGCAAGTAGACACGTAACGGTGACAGGTACCTTGACGGGAGATGCGCCGGACTACTGAGAATGTCGGATTAAAAGACGTCGGACTATCAAGGGAGAGCTGTACTTCATTTTAGAAAAAGAATCAAGTCATTTCTTGGGCAATCCGACGTATGCTACAATGATTCGCAGAACGTATTTTGCTATGTATTGTAATAGATTATACTAAAAACTATAGGCATGTAAACTAAAAATTCCGAATCACTTTCTTTAGTTTTTCTGCGTAAAAAGAAATTGCACGTGCAGAAATATAGATATTCAATAACTTAGAATCTTTAAAATAAAACATTTATATAAATAATGTAATGTACTGGTGGTACATTGCATAAAATTAAACNAATTTTCCAATTGTTTCTCAGTAAATGACTCAAAAATATAGCAAATTAAACTTATTGATAAACTTATATTTTGAAAAAATAATTACTTAAATTTGCTACTTAATTAACATTTTACGTTTTAATATTATATATAAATAAATAGGAAAGTGTGTCTATTTCTATAACTTACTTTTCCGTTAACTTGAATTTTCGTCAAGTCATCCAACCAAGTTTTATTACTCAATGAATTTGACATAAAATCATGAATATGTTCAGTAATTTCCTCAAGAAGATCTGGTTTTTTCTTAGAAATTAGAAATTTAAACTAGATTATTTATGATTACGTATAAATCATACTTTGTTAAATTAAATTAAATTAATTAATAGTTGTAAAAATGCAAGTAATTTAAAATTTTGAGTGGACGTATTAACTAAGTATTTTTTTAAATCAACATTTTAATTCATAAAAGTTTACTTACATTACATTTCACATGTTGATAATATATATAATCTAGGAAATAAGTGTATATTCCGACTATTTCAAATATCATTAGTAAAGGCGATGTTACATTAACCTTATCAAGAATCGACTCAGAGAAAGATTTGCAGAAATAGTTAGCTAAAACACTGTAAAATGTTTTCTAATTACCTCTTAAATTATACTTGCATAAGACGTAAATATAAAATTTTAAAATTAATTTTTATTATATCTGGTTTACCTTTTAAAACTTTTCGTCTTATTCACCTCGAAAAACTCTAATAAATTATTTTTTCTCCATATCATAATTTCTGTCTGAGAAGTTATATTTGATTTTTCAGGTAAGTCGACATCTTCAAAAATGTAATTGAATAAATTCTCCCAATTAATCTAAAAATTCACGCAAGTAATTTAATTATCATTTTGCCAAAACTACTTTAAAAAATTATAAAAATAAAGTAAATACTTCTGGAATAAATTTCTGTAATTCCTCTACAGTCATAAAATCAGGTTCTATGTTGTTTACGTAATTTTCCTCGAGTAGACAAATTTGTTTATTAATATATTGTAAATAGTAAAACAATAATGATGTAGTAATTAATTTAAATACTTACATATGTTAGCGAAGAACTAGCATTTATCCATTTATTAGAATCGAAATAATTTGTTTTAATTTGATTTTCTATTGGTATAATTGGAGCCGAAATCTGCAAATGGGTAAATGTGATTTATTTATTGAAATTACATTACTTATAGTTAATAAAGTTATAATACAAACTTACAGTAATTATATTTCTTTCTGTGTTTCTAACGTCTGGTTCAACCGAAATCAAAGTGTCTTTAGATAATTTAATAAATTTTGCGAAATTTTCTTCTAAATTATAATTATATTCGTCCCAATTTTCATCGAAGTGTGGACATCCTCCCAAGTTTTCATTAAAATAATTCTTTTTCCACTCATCCCCCGTGGTTTCATTATATCCTAAAATTGATAAAATAATCAATATACTATGTATTTAATTAATATAATAAAATTTCATCCGTTTATTGTAATTACGTTGGTAACATTAAGAGAAGTAAACGAATTAAGTCTACTTAACGGGTATTCTGGTTTTATTGTCCTGACACAGTAGCGTATCGACTTCGAAGCAAGGGTCTGCCATGCGGAAAAGTTCACGAGTGTGGGGCCCTGGCTTTGTACAAGTAAACTGAGAAAAAGTACATAAACTCAAAAAAGAAGTTTTACAAAGCCATAAACTTTTATACATATTTTATTTTTCAGTGGAAAGGAAATATTTTCAAATACTTGGAAATGTGTGAATGAGGAAGGTATACTAAATAAAGCTGGAGTTGTGATTCAAAGGAGTATAGACTCAAATTCTGGGGAAGGCCAAAAGATAAAAAGTAGTGAGAAAGGTTAAGTAGACCATCTGTCATGCAAATATTGACCCTTAATTTTCCAACCTTTCTCACTTCTTTATCTTTTATCCTTTCTTTCCTTTCCCTGCTTTTGGGTCTATAATCCTTTGAGTCTTAACTCCAGCTTTAATTAGTACTAGCAGACCCCGCCACGCGTTGTTGTGGCTCAAAATGTATCTATTATAAATGTATAACACTTCCCCGTGTGGGAGGGGGGAATTTTTCGAAAAATGTCTTCTTAGTGTACATTCTCTTGGCGTACCCTATTAAAATGCAATCAAAAACGCAAAAACCCGCATCTAAAATANTTGAGTCGGATTAGTGTAGAATCGATTAATTTTATGGAAGAAAACCTTTCAATCAGCCGTAGTCCGTAAACTTGACACGTGTCGGGCTGTGATTGGAACGACTTGTAAGAAATCGGATTCCTAATAAATTGGAACGTATCTATATCTTATAGGGGGGTCGACTGTAAATGCTTTACTAAACATAATTATCTTAACGGCCGATCTTACTGAAGGTCCATCAGTGGGTGAGTAGCCGAAACCATTAAACACTGGTAATTATCTAATCGCGCATTCATGCTGAAGCGAAGTGTTGAAATTTTCTGGGTTTTCTTCACCTGACTCTGTATGGGCTAGTTTTCCATAGAAAGTTCTTCGAGAGACATGTCCCTTTGGCAGATCTCTGAAGTCTTGATGCCTTCAACCAGTGATTTTCAAACAGTGTGCCACAGAAACAGGGTACACACTAGTGTGCCGCAACGACACTTCAGGAGTGCGGTGAAATAGATAGATGGAAGAAAGCAATGCTTCGGCGATCTGCCAAAGAAGAGTTCTTTTGATAGAATTTTCTAAGGGAAAGTAGCTTCTATTTAAATGCTAGACATATGAAGAAAACCTTGAAAATTCTACTCGATCGATCTATTAGAAAGAACTCCAGTGGCCTGAGTGGATAAAATCACTGAATACTTCAAGTATTCAGTAATTTTATGCACTCTGCCACAAGTAGACCCTAGAAATATAATGCTGAGTAGCGCCGAAACATTTATTGAGTGTATTACTAAATGTACTAAAAGCGTTATAATAACTACATTGTTGAAGAAGTATGAATGCAAAAAAAAATATCAAATTAAGGATGCCACTATTAGAGAAAAGTTGAAAAACACTATCTTAGCTTTTTATTCCAATCTAATCCAATCCTAAACTGCTGTGTGATAAAGAAATTTTTACTTTCCCAGCTCTGTTATACTGAATCAAAAAAATGACCCCCCAATTTTTTATATTTTCGGATTCAGATTCGCTATAAAGTAAATCTACTGTATATAATTTTTATACATTGTTTTTCTCATTACATGTTCGCTGGATAGACTTTTTGTTGATGTAAATTTACTTGAAAACCTTTAACGCAAAATACAGAATTAAAAGTATTTTTTAAAAATATCTGAAAGTGCTGTAATAAATCGTGCATTATCTATGAAAACTTAGGTAATATATATATATATGTATATGTGTATGTATACGATATATATAATAGAAGTACTTATTATTAAATTAATAAACGAACTAATTATTAATATAAGAATCAGTTTTACTAAGATGGTATAGTAAAACGAAATACCATAATTTTCAGTACTGTTGTAAAAAATGAAAAAATTTTTCAGTGGTTCCGTTAAATTTTCAGATTTTCTGGTCTCATTTATGATTTCTGCAATAAATAATATTTAATTTAATTTGATATTTATTTATTATATAATATAAACAGCATTTACTCACCGATTAGTTCACCATAGAAATCTTGTAATTTATCCATTATGTATGATGTATGTGTTAAATTCTTTTTGAAAGAGGCGAATTTTCCGCATGAAAATTCGTAAAAGTTTTCACAAGGATCCACAAATTCGTTTTTTAAATTTTGAGATTCTAATAAAACGAGAGGGGAAAAAACATCCTTTTTATGTCAAAGATCAGTACGGGATCTTGAAATTGGCGATTAACTTTATAACAGTATTAATAAAATATGATATTATTAAATAACACAGTAAAATTATAAGTGTAAATGATTTAAAACATACAAATGTACAATTACGTACAAGTAGATCAAAAGTTTATAATATGCTATTCCATTCATCTCTTCAAGCATAACCTGTGACTCCCGATGCCTAATCCTCGGCGTGTAGAAGTTTTCGATTAATAAAATAGTAGGTAAATTACGATATTTATCGAATTGTTTAAAATACTAAATGATATCTCGTCGTATTCATATTAAAATTCTCATTAGACGCGAGGCTTGTGTCACGAAGCATGTGGTTACTCTTTGTGACACTTGTGTGTCACGCAGAGTGCCCACAAGGATTGAAAAAAATGACTTAGGTAATATCATAGTGAATAAGCTCCGAAAATAATTTCTGTAGATAAATTAATATGAATTAGGAAAAAAATTGATCTAGATTTTGTAAATAGATTACAAGTATTTTAATCTATGGAAAAAAATCACGTACAGAAAAACTTATACAAGAAACTACAAAGATCAACTACTCTTTGCTGGGAATGAAATTTTCATTCTAATTAGGAGTGACAGAATATCGGAANGCGGCCCCCAGGGCCATATTAAAACTATATCAGTGATTTTAAAAACTACATATTTAATTTTCTTCCTGTTGAGACCTAAATATCGATCGAAAAACCAATTGTACTTTAAAATAAAAACGCAAAGCCTTCTCACTGAAATTGTAGTTTTATTTATTGTAGTGTAGGACCTACAAACACTTGTCTTTTTCTTTTACCCGCGACCCTCGTTAAGGCTTTGCGACCCTCCTGCGGGTCGCGACCTACAGGTTGAAAAACACTGATTTAAAGTTTCAATTGAAAAAAGCACATTCCTTTCATCCCTTTTCTGTCATTAAATATGAATCTAATTGATAACTTACCAGTTTGATTTGTTTCCTCAGTCGCAGCAACCATCGGTATTGTGTGGGTTAATATAATTAATACTGAAAATATTATACATATAGTTACACATCTTTTCTTTTTGAAAGCCTTTGAAGAGTTTACAATTTTAACTTCAGACAAACTGTAAGGGCTGTTCATATTCTTTATTTAGTCTTGTTCACAGCGTATAGACAGGCATACGCAAAGTTCTATATATACTGTATATATATATATGTTTGTGTGTGTGTGTGTGTATTTGTCTGTGTATTAAGCTATATATAGCACAAATTTTGTAATGTAAATTTTGAAATGAAGAAAAATACATCCTATTTTTATAATACATTCGTTTACAATTGAAGTTTCAATTCGTTTCATACTCGTTAGCAATACTTGTCTTAAATATCAAATTGTTCAAATGATTTAAATATTATTACTCATAATTACTTTCATGTTATCTAGATTCTCCTTAGCACTGTA